GGGCTGGGGTGGCTCCTGAGCCCGGCTCTCTCGCGTCTCTGCCTGTTGTGAGGGCGGGCATGGGCTGCAGTCACCCCCACTGTCCCCGTCTGCCTGCGCCTTCCCTGCTTTCCTCTGGCCAGGGCCTGTGGCTCTGGGGCCCGGCCCCCTCCCTCTGCAATGTGCCAAGGAGCGATCCCGCAGCTCGGCATGGAGGTCCCTGTAGGAGGGTATGCAGTTGGTGCTCATCTCGCTTCTGCACTTCTGTGAGGGTTTGCCGCTGGTACTCAGCACAGAGGCTCCTCCGTAAAGGTATGCAGCTGGAGCCCAGCACGGAGGCTCCTCTCTGAGGGTGTGTGGTTGTGCCCAGTGGCTGTCGGCTGGGCCTGCTGGGCCATGTCTGGGGAGCGGGCAGGTGCGGCTGTGGCCTGCCGTCCTGTGCTCAGCCCCCCCGCCCAGCCCCCTAGCCGACTCCGGGGTCTCAGCTGTTAATTACATCTGCCCGTCGGCCTCGGCGCTAATCTGTGGGGTCAGGCAGCAGGGGTGACACACCGCACTCTGCCTCTTGTCATCTCCAGTCCGGCCCGGCTCGCTGACTGACTTATGGCCGAGGCCGCCCGTTAATTACTGCCATCAATGCTCTCCCGACGCACAGCGAGAATGAGGGTTCGAGGCCGCCCTGTCCTGTATTGATCCCAGCACAGACTGGTGGGCAGCGGCCCCGCCTCTGAGGGGATCAGGCAGGGGTTGTCGATGGCCTCCGACAGACAGTTCTCCCTCCTCCCGTCTGCACCCACCCTGCTGACTAATGCGCAGTGGCTGCCTTGGAGGGTCTCCAGGACGGGAGGATGGCAGGGGCAGGGCAGGCCTGGAGCCCAGAAGCCCGAGTCCCTGCATCCCTTACCCCAGAGCTGCCCAGCTCCCCCCGCCTTCCCAGCGCCCGGGAAGACCGGAGTCCACCCAGCCCTTTTCCCCACCCTTCCTTCTGGGCCGGGAGCTCTCAGCAGCTGCAGCCTTGCCAGGGCGGCGGCCTTGGCGCGTTCGTTTATTTTCTTTTGCTTCAGAGCGCAAACATCCACATTCCCTTCAGCCACAGGTCCTAGATCTGGGCAGGGACGCCTGGGGCTGGGGCCAGGCGTGCGGTTCACCTTGCGGGGTGGGGCTGGGCCCTGCGGCTCACACCTGTGGTCCCCAGTGCTTTGGGAGGCCCAGGCGGGAGCATCACGTGAGGCCAGGCGTCTGAGGCTGCAGTGAGCTGTGAGCACGCCGTTTGCAGTGGCCACAAGGTGGGCCCAGTCCACACGGCCACTAGTCGAGGAACAGGACAGCCTGGGGTCGCGTGGACATGGTCCCCGTGGTGGGCTCACTCGGCCACACAGAAGAGTGGGGCTGCTTGGGGGTGGACAGGCACCCACCCCCAAGGGGCGCCCCAAGGCCACACGCCCCTTGAATCCTTGTATGTGAAACGCCCAGAAGAGCCAGATCCCTGGAGAAGGGGAGTGGGTGCAGGGTTGTGGGGGGCGGGGCCTTGGCAGGGCCAGAGGCACGAGGGAGGGGCTGCCCCGGGATGGGCTTCCTCCGGACGGCGGGAAGGTCCCAAGTGGACCTCGGTGACGTGGCCGTGACCTGGACATGCTACGATGCTGAGCCACATGAGCGACGGGGGAAATTCTAGCTCAGCCAAGCTGTGACCGTGACAGCGGGCGCGGTGGGGGTACTGCGGAGATTTGTTCTCAAGGAGGGAGAGCCCTCCCTCGCTTTTTTCCCCCCTGAAAAACTTAACGTGAACGTCTTCTCAAAACAAACACACAGAAAAGCTTACAGAGCTCAGCTGGTGACTCCTCGGAGCAAGCCCTGAAAGGAGGGTGGGGACAGGCCACCCCGGCACCCCCAGGCAGGGCTGTCTAGTTTCTGACCCTGCAGGTGTCCTGTGTCTTTCTGAACAAGGCGGCTGCGTGCCTGGTGTCACCCAGCGTGGGTTCGTTCTTGGCTTTTTCTGCCCTCGGGGTGACCAGGGCTCCACCTGGAACATGCCGGCTGGGTCCTTTGCTGGGGACGGCGTGAGGGTGGGTTCACGTCAGGCCGTGTGTGCCTTCTCTTGGGTGTCTGGGGTGGACGTGAGCCCTGGTTTGGCTGGGCCTTGTTGGGCTTGTACCCGGGGCTGGGTCCTGGGACCCTGAGGCTTCCCAGGCTGGCCCGCCAGCACTGGGGCAGGGTCCAGGGTCAGCTTGGAGTTTCCCAGAGGCCTCAGGGTCAGCCCTCCAGCCTGGCTGGGTCAGCCCAGGGCCTGCCACCCGCATGGTCCCCCAAACTGGCTTTTCCAGTGGGCTTCTCCGCCTTGCCTTGGAACTCGGGGGGTTCTTCCTGCCAGGAAAGGAAGCCTGGTGGTGTTACCTCTTGGGCCCTGTCCTGCAAGGTGATGACACGGTGTCTCCCATCTGACACTGCTGAGCCCAGGCCAGGGCCCAGGCTTGGGGTTGGCCCTCTTGACTTCAGGTTGTGGGATTCTTGGGTATAGGCAGTGGCTGTCAGGGCCCTCTGGGGACTCAGGGGGGTCACACCTCAGGGCAGCGGCTCTCTGGCCTCGCTACCCCTGGCCAGGCTCCGGCGGGGGTGTGCTGCTGGGCTGCTCCGGGGCATGGCCTGCAGGGTCAGGCAGGACAACGCTGATTGGGCGTGTGTCTTCACGGGGCTGCCCTGGATGGTCGTGCAGCTTGCACACAGGCCTAGGGAGGCGCATGAGAGGCCGGGGTAGCCTTCCTGCAGGAGGTGGCAGGGGGGAGCTCCCTGCTCAGAGCAAAGCTTTCTCCTGACACCTGGGTGCCTGTGGTCACACACGGTCACGTGTGGAGGCCACCCTTGACTGGCCCAGCCTCTGAGGCTGAAAGAACGGGGCTGTCCCATACTCCCCCTCAGGCCGGCCGTCCTTCCCATGAGGTTGGCATCGGGGCATGAGCTGTGGGTGGCGATTTCTTTGGGGGATGAGTGTGGCCACTTGGTGGCTTGTGGATGAGGCGGGGATCCCCTGCCCCTGCAGCCAGGGCAGGCTCTGAACACTAGGAAGAGACCTAGAGCCGCCAGCCTGGGGGTCCCCTTCCAGAATGCGGGCCGACCTCTGCTCTCCCCACCCCGGCCGTAGGCGCCTTCCCGGTGGAGCTTTTACAAACAGAAGGCATCCGTTGTGTCCACCTCGGAGAGGTCAATGTTTGCCCCTCGAGCCCAAGTTCCGGTGTGGCCCCACCACGGCTGAACCCACCCACACTAAGACCGAGCACCCCCCGTCCCTGACGGCTCACGTCCTGACCCCGCGGCACCCCGAGCTCACGTGTCATCCTCTGAGGGGGCGTCTGGGTGCCTGGAGGCAGGTGCCGCTGGTCTGACCGGCAGTGACACACCGTGAGGTCTCCGGGGCCTGCTCCTTGTTGGGAACCGTGGCCTGTGCTAGACCCTGGCCGAGTGCCGTGTGTGGCTCTCCCTGGAGGGGGTCACCCTGGGTCTGTGTCGAGTCTGGGAGGAGTACGGGGCGTGGGCCACACCCATCCACAAGCACACAGCTGTGTGGGCGTGCCGGGGTCCCCACAGGCTGCGGCCCAGCTAAGACAGACTCATCTGTGCGAGCCCTGAGCCTCTGCGGGTGGCCTCCGGGGCCCAGCCCTGGGCTACACTGGCAGCCCCAGCCTCTGGGCCATGCCCACCTCCATCGCAGGGACGTGACCCCCGCAAGGAGGTGCGGAGGCACTAGAAGCGGGACAGCTGCCCGCTGGGGGCAGGGAGCCTCAGCCGTCCTCACCCCTGCCCCCCCCACCGCTCATACTTTGTCCCCTCCGGGCGTGGGAGGAGCCAGCAGGGAGGACCCTGGCCTGTGCAGCTGCCCGGTTTTGCCCGTGATGGAGGGAGCCCGGGCCTCTGTGATTCCTCCTCATCGTGTCCAGCAAGCCTCCCACCTGCAGCCTCTCTGCCCTTGGGGTGTCTTCCTAGTTGTGTCTGGAACCCCAGGAACTGAACTCCCCTCTCTCCTTGTGACCCCGCTAGCCCGCTCCATGGCTTCTGGTGGGGGTGTTGAGGGCTTCTTTCTGGGGCACCCACCAACTTGCACATCTCAAGATGGTGAGTTGTATCCCAGTTTTTAAAACTTAAAAACAGGCCAGGTGTGGTGGCTCATGTCTATAATAATCCCAGCACTTTGAGAGGCGGAGATGAGAGGATTGCCTGAGCCCAGGGGTTCGAGACCTTGTCTCGACAGTAAATCAAAAAATTAGCCACGCCTGGTGGCACGCACCTGTGGTTCCAGCTACTTGGAAGGCTGAAGCAGGAGGCTCGCCTAAGCCCAGAAGGTCATGGCTGCGGTAGCCACGATCAGGCCTGGGCGACAGAGCGAGACTCCAACTCAGAACAAAAATAAGACATGTTTTCAACATATGGTTGCAGTCTCCCAGAGCCACCCTGGGCACCTGCAGGGCGGGCGTGCTGGCCTCCCCACCGCCCCTCCCGTGCCGAGTCCCCAACCCCCCTGAGCCCCCAGGGTGGCTTCTTTCCACAGGCCCGAGCACACGGGGTTCACCAGGAACCATCCCTGCCCCCCACTCTCACTCGCGGGGGCTGTGTCTCCCAGGGGTGCAGCCCGGCTGGCAGGTCATTGGGGCCACAGGAGGTGGCCAGCCTGTGCTTCCTGGGACACTGGGCTGTGTGTGGGCCCCTGGCTTGTGACAGTGACTTAGAGAAGCACGCTTGCTCTCTGGGATCCACGCCGGGTGCCTTTGGGCCGGTGAGGCCTGGTCCCGCCCACCCTACCGGCGCCTTCCCCCGTGGCTGGGGCGGGTGGCCCTGCGCACCAGACATCTGTGCTGAGGCCCCCATGGCCAGGCCCTGGGGTCCAGGGACAGGGAGGCCAGCCCAGCCCCCGAGGTGTCCGGGGCAGACTGCGCTGCCGACCGTGTCCTGGCCTCGACCTGTGGCTCTGGGGGCAGGTGTGGTGGGCACCAGCGGCAGTTCCAGCTCAGGCGCTGTGTTCTTCCCCGCAGGGTCTTCGCTGAGCAGCGACTCGTCCCCCGTGTCCTCCCCGGCTACCAACCACAGCTCCCCCGCCAGCACGCCCAAGCGCGTGCCCATGGGCCCAATCATCGTGCCCCCGGGGGGCCACAGCGTCCCCAGCACACCCCCCGTGGTGACCATCGCCCCGACCAAGACCGTCAACGGCGTCTGGAGGAGCGAGAGCCGGCAGGTGAGCCGGGCGAGGGGCGGTGCCGGGATCGGGCGTCCGCTGGTGGCTCCGGTGCCTGCGGGGTTGAGTCGGAGTCACCGACACACCTGAGCCTCCGTCTCCTCCTGTGCAAAATGGAGGGGGCACGGCACCCTCCCCGACACCGCGACGGACCCCCGTGTCAGTCTGTCGGGGCTGCCGTGATCGAGAGCCACAGGCAGGGGGTTCCGGACAGGGACTTTCTCCCACCCTGGAGGCCTGGAGCTCAAGGTCAAGGTGTCGGCCGGGCTGGTTCCTCCCCAAGCTCCTCTCTGGCTTGCAGGCGGCCTCTCTCCTGTGTCCTCACCGGTCACCCTGTGTCCAGCGTCTGGGCTGATCTCTCACAAGGACACCAGTCACACTGAGTTAGGGCCCGCTGTGGGGGGCACGTCCTGACTTAAACAGCTTTCGGAATTCTGCCTCAGTCACATCCTGAGGCCCTCAGAGTTAGGGCCTCAACGGGTTAACTTGCGGGGGCCACCGTGCAGCCCCCACCGCCGGTGTCCCATCCTGAGCATTTGATGAACAGCAGCTGTTACTGTTCTATGTTGATGGAGCAAAGGGCTGAGAAGGAAGTGTCAGCCCCCGGTGCTGGAGGAGGACATCTGGGGTCTGTGTCTGCCTTTGCTTTTGAGGGGCTCCCCGTGTCTGCAGGCCCCTCGCTGTGTGCCAGTGATGGCCCGGGCCCTCCCTGGGGTGGCGTGCCCCCAGCTCAGCCTCCCCCTCCGGCTCCCCGTTCTCCCATCCGGAGCAGGCCTTTCCAAATCAGGAACCAAGTCAGGGGCCGGGTTTTTCTGCTGCATCCCCAGAGCGATGGGTACTACTTGGAAATGTGAATTAAACCATGGGGGAAGGGCATCTTTCCCTTGCCCCGGCCTTCTCCCCTGGGGTGTGGACAGCTTGGGGCCGCCCGGCTGGTCAGGGTCCGCCTTTGCCCTGTGCCCGGAGCGGGAAGGGGCTGGTCTCCATTCACAGGGCCATCCTGGGCAGGCCCTGGCACCAGGTGGACGCCAGGGAACTCTGTGGGGTCCTGACCCCCTGGGAATTCCCCCGGGTCCCCACCTGGCTGCCCAGGCTTCGGGGACAAGCCCGTCTGAGACAGTCACCCTGCCAGGGCCCTCTGCAGCTCGGACATGGAGGGACAGGACTCCAACTTCAGGCGCGACTGCGACCTGTCAGGGCTTGAAGCAGCCAGCGACAGCCCTGGTCCTGGCTTGAGGGAAGGCAAGGGAGTTGGCGCTGGCTCTCCTGCCTCCAGCGGCTGCCCCTGGGGCCCACCTTGACCTTGGGGACCCTGGGTCACCAGACTCCCTGGTAACGACCCGGCTGGGGGCAGGCGGGCGCTCCCCAGGCCAGAGCCTCCGTGTGCCTGGCCGCTGCCCACCAGCAGCCTCACCTGGACCCTGGGCCCTTGTAAATCCTCCCCAGCGGAGGCTCGAGCAGGCCTTTTGCCGCTGATGCCTCCACCCCGACCTGGGCCTCCCGGGAGGGTCTTCCTGCCCCAGAAGCACTCAGCACCCCCAAGAGGGGCCGTGATAGATCTGCTCCAGCCATTTGCCACCGCAGCGCTTAATGAGACACGGACGCCACCAGGGAGGCGGTGGGGACGGGGCTGGATTAGCAGATGATGTGTGGTGCGTCGGCTCGGCGGAGGGTTTAATCCTCCCCGGAGGACTGGGGGCGGGGAGAGGCGGGGAAAGGATCCCCCCCAGGTTGTGAGCCGCAGGGGCCTCGGAGCCCCAGACGCAGGCCTGGCATCCTCGGGGGCGGTGACTTCGGGGCCCCTTCTCGGAGTCACCAGTGTCTCCCAGGCAGTCGGGCGGCAGAGGGAGTGAGGGGGCGCGAGAGAGGCCATTTTAAAGCTAACAGGGCTTGTCCTGCCTGTCTGGCAGCGGAGGCCTCGCGCTAATCGCCCGAGAATGAGTCTCCTCCTCCTCCTCCCTCCCCCCCCCTCCTGCTTTTCATCCCTGCAGCTGCGCCTGCAGCCG